TATATATTCGTATGATTTTAGGAACCACTGATAGAACCTACACTATTCTATACCTATTTATTGAAAACATGACAGTCAGTTATTTATTAAGTTATATTGTTTACGCAGTTACCCCCGTTGTTAGGAGTTTGGGGACAGCTGGGTTTGGACCCCTCCACGTTCTCGTGTACAATACTGGAGAAAAATGGTACATCACCGAAAAAAATGATATTTTTAATAGGATTCGTTCTGCCATGCATTGTTATTATAGTATCCTACTCCTGTATTTTCTTTCGAGTTAAAAAAACAAGAAAAAAACTTATGTCTCACGTGTAAGTATATGTTGAAAATTTACGATTACAAAGACAGTAGGTACAGTATGAATCAAAAATAATGGTGTAGTTTTTCTTTTTCTATTTCTTTACAAAATTAATATTTTAAATTCGCTAATTGCAATAAGTCTTTGTATTTGTTTCGTTATAATTTTTTGCCCTTTTAGAAAGTCATCTTCAAGTCAAGAAAGTCGAAGAACAAATCGTGAAAAAGAAGACAACAGGCTAACGAAACTAATGCTTTTAATATTCATTTGTTTTCTTCTTTGTTTTTTACCTTTAATGATTATGAATGTATTTGATGACAGTATAAATTACCCCGTGCTACATGTTGTGGCATCTATTATGGCGTGGGCCTCAAGCGTAATTAATCCGTTTATATATGCTGCAAGCAATCGCCAATATCGTACAGCTTATTCTAAATTTTTTACCCTTTTAAAAGGAAATGTTTTACAAACGCATAACAACACTAGAAATTCCATGAAAAATAGTCAACATTTTTCTAATAAAATGCAACCATCTTCAAATACAAAAGAATAATTTTAACACAAAATTAACAAATGCACTTGATTACCGAATTAATTTACGTTAAAACTTCAGTGTACGAGTGTATGTTTTGTACCTATGTATTTATATCAATAAAACTTGCTGATAACAGCTTTCTCTACGTTGTGGAAATAATGCATGTTCCTTTTATTCAAAAATTTTCTTACCATTTTTGCTAGTCCTAATTGTATTGTATTTTGTTTAACAATGTGAACGATTAGTAACAAATGTTGTTTACTATTTCTGTATTGTATAAAAATTTACGCTTATAGAATAATTAGTTTTAAGAAAAGTTTTGGGAAGTACCTTTCAATTTACCATTCCTCTTAAAAACGGTACTAAAATTATTATTTTTTGTATAAAAAAAGTAACTAACATAAATTTGAATTATTTTTTGTAGATCATAATAAAAATACATTTTTTAAAAAATAGTATTTGTTATCTTTTCTGTGCTGATTTAAAATTACCCTCCAAATTACTTTGTACGATTTATGACGTTAGCTAAAGAAAAGAGAAAACCATTGACGTAGTAATTACTCCTTCACTATATAGCAATTCATTAAATATTATTTGAGGTAATATTTTGCAGTTGTATAATAACTGTAATGTAAAGAAAATTGCTTTTCTTATATTCTAAAATAGGGTTTTCACTGATTGCAATTACATTCGAAGAGTATTCTATTATAAATAAGCTCATGCTATATGTCTATGGTGTACGCCACTGGATACCATCGATTTAAAAGAGACGTGTGATAGAGATGTTGTTTTAAATAAAAAAATGCAATTATTTCTTTTTTTGCGAAAAGTAGGTATTTTAAAATTATCATGTTAATAGCCGAAATTTCATAACGTGATTTTTGATTTAAAAGTGTTAGATAGATCCCGCCCTATCTTTTCGACCCATATTCATCTAAACATTTTGAAACAAGTTCTTCCCCCTTATCAGTCACTGTGATCTAGAAACTGTTAACATCATTGCTTCGAGTGGTCGAAATTCACTTTTGTGAACAATTTGTTTAATCACTTTTTTTATGTTAAAAATTGTTTAAAAAATTAAATTTAAAGGAATTGTTTGTAAATAGGTATGCAACACATCGTACACTTCAGCATAAGAAATCATTTTATTTCATTTACGTAATACTATTTTGCTTTGTGCTGACAGCACTCATT